CGTCTCTACTAAAAATACAAAAATTAGCTGGGCGTGGTGGTGGGTGCCTGTAATCCCAGTTACTCAGGACGCTGAGACAGGAGAATCACTTGAACCTGGGAGGCAGAGGTTGCAGTGAGCCGGGATCACACCACTGCACTCCAGCCTGGGCGACAGTGAGACTTTGTCTCAAAAACAAACAAACAAACAAAAAAACCAAAAAACGAACAAACAAACAAACAAAAAAACTTAAAAATTCCTCGTGAATGGGATACAATACAATTCCTCGTGAATGGGTACTTCTAGAATACGAAATAGGTGAATGATGCAATGTGGGCACCTACCAAGTAGCTGAGGTGTAATGGCTTTTGCCAGAGAAGTGGCAGTCACATAAATCTAGCAAGGTAACAGGGCATACTAAAAAACATAGTACAGATGCCACATGCCTGGAGTTTTTTCAATCTGGGCACATGGCACCCTCAAAGGATCTCCTCTCATGTTACACAGAAAAGCATAATTGGCAGAGCACTGGCTCAAACCTAGAATCTCAGCACTTTGGGAAGCGGAGGTGTACAGATTGCTTGACCTCAGGACTTCAATTCTGGCCTGGGAAACACGGTAAAACCCCACCTCTACTAATACAAGAAAATAGCCAGGCATGGTGGTGCACGCCTGTGGACCCAGCTACATGGAGACTAAGATTGGAGGATCACTTGAGCCTAGGGGGCGGAGGATGCAGTGAGCTATGATCGCAGCACTGCACTCCAGCATGGGTGATGGAGTGAGACCCTCTCCAAAAAAATGAAAAAATAACATTCCCTATACATCTACAGTGTTTTTCTCATCTCAGTGTTCTAGGATCCAATGGGAAGGCACAATGCTTTTTTGCAAACATTACACTCAAAAGGCATTTCCATAGTGACAGCTCTCCTGTGAGTTACGAAGCCAGACTTCTGGATAAATGTCCTATAGTTGTCACACTTGTAAGGCCTTCATTCAGTGTTAACTATAATCCTGAAGGAATACAGAGGTGTGGCTACAAAACTGCTGAATTTATTTTACTTGTAAGGACTCTTCTCTAGTGTGAACTCTCCAACGTCCGAGGAGAGCAGACCTTTGGGTAAACATTTTCCACATTTGCTACAATCACAGGATCTTACTCAGGTGTGTGCTCTCCTGTATTTACTGAGACTGGACTCACTGCACTCACAAGGCCTTTCTTTCGTGAACTCTCTGATGGTAACGAAGTGAAGAGCTTTTTCTAAATTTTTTTTCACATTCACTACACCCATAAGGCTTTTCTCCAGTGTGAACTCTCCTGTGATTAGTGAGACTGGAGATTTCAGCAAAAGATTTCCCACATTCACTGCACTCATAAGGCTTCTGACCAGTGTGAACTCTCTTGTGAACATGGAATGTAGAGCTGTGGGTAAATGACTTCCCGCAATCATTGCATTCATAAGGCCTTTCTCCAGTGTGAACCCTCTGGTGTGCAATGAGTTGGTAGTTGTGCCTAAAAAATTTCTGACAAGCCTCACACGCATAGGGCTTTTCTCCACCGTGAATTCTCTGGTGTGCAAGGAGGTGAGACTTTCTCTTAAATAATGTTCCATATTCCCTACACACAGAAGGCCTTTTTCTAATATGACCAAGCTTGTGTTGAATGAGGTTACTCTTGTGATTAAAACACCTCCCACATTCTCCACACTTACAAGGTCTTTCTGTGAACTCGCTGATGACTCCTAAGGTGCCCTTTTTCATTGTAAGATTTCCCACATTCTCCACACTCATAAGGTCTTTCTCCAGTGTGAATGCGCTGATGGCTCCTGAGGTGCCCCTTTGAAATATAAGATTTCCCACATTCTCCACACTGGTAAGGTCTTACTTCAGCGTGAATGCGCTGATGGTAAGCAAGGCTGCGCTTCTGACTAAAAGATTTCTCACATTCTCCACACTCGTAAGGTCTCTCTCCAGTGTGAAGGCGTTGATGGTTCCTAAGGTTCTGGTTTGAACTAAGAGATTTCAAGGTCTCCACACTCAAAAGGTCTTTCTTCAGCGTGAACTGGTTGATGACAGACGTCTAAGATATACTTCTAAGCTAAAGTATTTCCCACATTATTCACACCCATAAGGTGAACAGGACAGGGATTTTCATGACGCTTTTCCATACAGTGTCTGGAATCTATAGATAACATAACCGGTTCATTCAGGGGTTGATCTTTAACCAGACCCAGGGTGTGGCGCCAGGCTGTCTGCCTGTGGATTTCATTTCTGCTTTTTAGTTTTTACTTCTTTCTTTGGAGGCAGAAATTGGGCATAAAACAGTATGGGGGTGGTCTTCTCCCTTAACAGCACAAATGCTTAATTAACTTTTTTTTTGAGACAGGGTCTGTTGCCCAGGCTGGAGTGCAGAGGCGCAGGTATAGCTCAGTGCAGCCTGGACCACCTGGGCTCAACCATTCCTGCCACCTCAGCCTCCCAAAATTTGGGATTATAAGCGCGCGCCACTGTGCGGGGTCAGGACTCCTCCCTGAGAGCCCAGGAGATGGAGCTGGGCTTTCCCTTCGGAAGAGCCGCAGGGGATCGCTCTTTTTACCATGTTGGAACCTGGGAAACTACAGTACCCAGAAAGCTCTGCGTCAAATGACAGCACGGCAGAGCCAGTGAGAGCTCAGATTGAAGGCGCTTCCGTATGCGCACGTACGGTAGAGGCGGGACTCCCGGCGCCCTTTAGTAGGGGCCATTTCGATTGGCTTTAGGTGTGTTTGTGGAATGAGAGGCCTGGGAGCGCTGTGGAGGGACCTTGTGGTGAATGGATCCAGAAGGTCGAGAGTCGTTCTTCTCTCTGCACAGACCTAACTCTGCAGCTCTTTAAGGGCGCCCGCAGCTCTCAACCCAGCTTACCCCACGTGGTCCCATGGCGGCCCCCGCTCTGAGGTTCCCGGTTCAGGTAATTGTGACGCCTTCCGTGCTCTGCGGTCACCTCGTAGTCACACAAGTCCTAAAGCAGCGAGGGAGCGGCACCTGCTCACAGCTCTGCAACCCGGACCTGGCGTCGGGACACTGAGCCGCTCTGGGAAGGGATCCCTGTTTCAGACACCGGTGGGATGCGGTGGGGAGAACGAAGGTACAGGGAGGGGCGAGGGCAATGGCCTGGAGATGGACGGATCCGGGAGGATGGAACCTGGGGTCCACAGGCGCCTGTAGGGGGCAACCTGTGAGGCGGAACTCCTCCTGGAAAAGCAAAGAGGCTGGGGGCTGTGAAATCATTGCGAGGACACTAGAAATATGGAGCATTTCCAAGAAAGAAGGGACTGGATCAAAGTCCGGGCTTTTAAAGTTCCCCAAGGCCAAATAAAGAACAGAGAGAGGATGACGTTGGGGCCCTTTGAGACTGAATCCTTGTAGATCACATTTTGTGCTGAGACAGGCAGGTCAGATAACAGTCGAAGGTCACCTGGCTCCATGCACACAAAAGCTTCAGGGAGGCCTGAGCTTACCAGATCCTATCAGGGACATAGTCCCGTAAAGTCAGCCTCTCCCCTCAGGCCCTTATGGCTGTAGAAGCGTTTAAGGAACGCATACAAGAAAGTGGAGGGTGTGGCCGGGTGCGGTGGCCCACTCCTGTAATCCTAGCACTTTGGGTAGCCTAGGCGGGCGGATCACCTGAGGTCGGGAGTTAGAGACTAGCCTGACCAACCATGAAGAAACTCCGTCTCTACTAAAAATACAAAATTAGCCAGGCGTGGTGGAGCATGCCTGGTAATCCCACTACTTGGGAAGCTGAGGGCGGAGGACGCGTTTGAACCGGGAGCGTAGGTATTCCATGATGGCGCACATGCACTCCAACTGGGGCAACCAGATGCGAAACTCCGGCTCAAAAAACGGAGAAAGACAGTGGAGGTGTTACTCCACTCACTGGTTCGATTCTATCCACATTTCTCTAGCTTGGTGCTGGTGGGTCTCAAAATAATATGACGGGCTGCTTGGTTGTGTCCCATGTCTTTGGGAGGCCAAGGCGGGAGGATCAGGGTCATGTGTGTAGATCGATGATTTAATGGCAACATCGGTGGAACCGCGTCTCTACTAAAAAATTCAAAAAAATAGCCAGGCAGGTGGTGGCGGGCGCTGTTCAGTTCGGCTACTCGGTGAGGCTGAGCGGAGAAGTTGCGTGAACCCGGATGCGGAGCTGTGCAAGTGAGCAAGATAGCCAGTGCACTCCATGCCTGGGCGACAGTGGGAGACTCTGTCTCAAAAATAAATAAGTAAATAAATTAATTTTTAAAACTTTTTGAGAGACAGGTTCTCACCCTGTCGCCTAGGCTGGAGTGCAGTGGGCGATCTCTGCCCACTGCAGCTTTGACTTCCCTGGTTTCAGCCTCCTGAGTAGCTGGGGCTGCAGACGTGCAGTACCATGCCTGGCTTAAATTTTTATTTTTTATATTTTTTTATTTTTATTTTTTAAGTAGAGGCGTGTTTCTCTGTGTTGTCCAGGCTGGCCTCAAACTTATGGGATCAAGCGATACACCCCCTTGGCCACCCAAGTGCTGAGCTTACAGGCATGAGCCAGCACACCTGGCCTGGGACTCTGTCTCAAAAAAAAAAAAAAAAAAAAAAAAAGAGTTCGCTTAGTTGCCCAGGCTGGAGTGCAGTGGACGATCTCGCTCACTGCAAGTCCGCCCCGGGTTCAGCGCCATTCTCCTGCCTCAGCCTCCCGAGTAGCTGGGACTACAGGCGGCCGCGCCTGCTCGCCCGGCTAATTTTTTGCATTTTTAGTAGAGACGGGGTTTCACCGTGTTAGCCAGGATGGTTCGATCTCCTGACCTCGTGATCCACCGCCTCGGCCTCCCAAAGTGCTGGGATTACAGGCGTGAGCCACGCGCCGGCCGGCCCTGGGACTCTTAAGTGGTGTTTTTTCAGACATTTGATCTGGGGAACCTTTGGAGAAACCTGAAGGCCAAGGTCCTACTTCCATGACACGTTGTATAGAAGGTATTCCCATTTAGTGAACTGTGATAAACATTGAAGGGTTAACCCTGTATTTTGTGCCAGGAAGCAAAATCCTTAGAGGTAAGACTGATAAGAGCGGGGAGTTGATGTTACTGAAGTTCTGTTTGGCTCCACACTGGAGAACAGAATGTGGAGTTGAGGGAGGAGGAAGGAAGCTCAACGTTGAGGCTGATTCCATAATCCAGGTGAGGGTTAATGAACAATTCATGGCTAAGAAGATGTGGCTGGATTCACTATTCACATTTTGCAAAGGGGAAGCTAGATTTTAATATGATGGTAAATGTGTGAAAGAGAGGTTTCAGGTATGACCCCATAGTTTTTGGTCTTAGCAGCTGTACTGATAGAGGCTGTATCAGCTGAGATGAGCAAATTGACAGTAGGCATAACATTCACTGGGTTATAAGGAGGGTTGTTAAGAATCTGAGATGATTCAGAGACCAGTAAGTAGAGGCAACAAGTCAGTAATGTCCACATAGGTTGGGATATCTGGAAACGAACTGATATTGGGGCCATGCAATATACAGAAATGAACGTGTGGACTAAGGTGAGTTAGCCAAGGGTCATGTTTAGGAGGGCACACTTCAGATTAACATGGTAAATCTTTTAGCGGGCCAGGAAGCAGTGATTAGAGACTGAGGACTGGATTCCTTGCTTGGATCTCTAGCTGACATTATTGTCATTCATAAACACAGAACAGGGAGATAAGTGACAAGGAAGGTAAGATGTATCTGACAGCATACTTTGTCAGGGGACATGGACGTCCATGGAGATAATAGACATGATATGCATTCAGAAGTATAGGAGTAATTGAGGGAAGGTGACACTTAGACTGCAGTTGGTGCTTATTTCCCATTATATGCACTTGCCAAGATTGTGACACAACTATGTTGGTGCCTGGGGAGTTTCATTCACCATGGAGTATATGGTGAGGAGGAAATATGCTCATCTGTGACAGTCACTAGGCCTGGTATGGATGACCAATGGGGCTTGGCTTTAAACGATGTTAGGTGAAAACAGGAAGGTCATAATTGCTGAGGGGTCAGCAAGTGTGGCACAGAAGTGGAATAGTGCCACTGATATCTGAAGTCATGCATAGTTCTGCGTCACTATGGAGCCGTGCAAGGAGGCCTTCATAGAATCATTTGAGACTCTACCACTTCTTTTAGGATCCAATAGAAATGGAATTCTGTGGTGATACTGGATCCTGTTTGAGTTGGCCAAGCATAGTCTGGATGGTGTCAGCCATGATGTCATGTGAGCCCAAAAATGAAGGCCCAGTGTGGTTTGCCACTTGGATATCTGGCGATATTGGTATGTCCTCAAATGACCTGAGTGCAAATTTCCTTCCCACTCTACTCTACTGTCTTTTTGTTTTGTTTTGTTTTGTTTTGAGACGGAGTCTTGCTGTGTCACCCAGGCTGGAGTGCAGTGGCACAATCTCGGTTCACTGCAACCTCCGCCTCCCAGGTTCAAGCAATTCTCCTGGTTCAGCTTCCCAAGTAGCTGGAATTATAGGCACCCGCCACCAAGCCTAGCTAATTTTTTTGTATTTTTAGTAGAGATGGGAATTTGCCATGTTGGTCAGGCTGGTCTCGAACTCCTGACCTCATGATCGGCCTGCCTCGGCCTCCCAAAGTGGTGGGATTACAGATGTGAGCCACCACGCCCAGTCCTCTATTATCTTAAGTAATGTATCATAGCCTAAGAAATCTTTCCATCAGTGTGACCAGGTAGAGTTCCTGATTATTATACTTTGTAGTGTGTTTCAATTCCATTTCTATAACCAGAGTTATATTAAGAAGCCAGTGGCATCCTCCTGAGGGAATTAGGCTATTACACCCTTTTCATCTTAGAAAGCTTGCATTGTACAATTCCTGGTTACTCTCTCTTATCCACAGTGAAACCCCTCTGTGGTGAGTGGTGTCCCTCTTACCAGTTTGTGAATATCTTTTATTTTTAAACTGCTGTTAATGGCATCTGTCAAGTATCAGTTGTCATTTTGCTCCTTTACAATATAACTCTAGCGGGAGATTTCCACCCACACTAGTAGAAGAAAAAGGAGGGCATTAATACTTCAAGTTGTTTAAAGGCTAGAGAGGCCAGTGCTGTGTGGCAGTCAGCTGGGGATGGACATGGATATGTACCTGGGAAGTCTAAAGAATGTGCTTTCAGAGAGGGTATCTCTGCTGTGCTGAAGGTGCCACATTGGGCTCTCCATGACCTCGGCCATTCTAGGGGAAGTGTCTGTCAGGAGGGGGTGAACTTTATGTCACAGCCAACACATAAATATCTATTTGTTCACCTAATTATTGTTGGTGGCTGTACCCCATGACCAGTGGGCCTAGTTTCTTCTATGATTTGAGGACCTTGAGAGGATGTGTGAGAGTAGATGTGTGGGAGAGAGGGATTGTGATACCTCAGCATAGGGGCCATTTGCAGTTTCATCTGTCAACATCATAACAGGGCTCAGTGACTTTTGAAGACGTGGCTGTGAACTTTACCCAGGAGGAATGGAATCTCCTTAGTGAGGCTCAGAGATGCCTGTACCGTGATGTGATGCTGGAGAACCTGGCACTTATATCCTCCCTGGGTAAGTTGCCCACACTCACCCCGTGACCTGAGCTAGTCTCCGTCTTTCCCCCTCTTTTTCTGTTGGCAAAACTTTCTCATGTCAGGAGCATGGACATAGCTTCCTACTTCAGTTCTGTGGGTAATTTCTTGGTTGGTAGGACTGAGGTGTCCATACTGCCCTGCTCCTTTCTTGGAGCAGCCCCAACAGCTGCTAGTGAGCTCCCAGGGAGCTGTAGGCTCCCAGGGAAGAATTCAGAGTCAGAAGTCTCACAGATATCTTAATGCAGGCTATCTTGTTTGTCCTGTGGATGTTTGTATGATTTCATCCAGATTTCAGGTTCAGGATCTCATTCATTCCTCTACCTGCTATTTCTTCATGCCTCCCTGTGCCAGGAATTGTCTTCATTGACACTGTCACTGCCTACATAGACTATAGAGTGTTCTTGAAATACCCTCCTTAGAAATTCTCTTCGTGGGTCTGGTGCGGTGGCTCATGCCTATAATTTCTGCACTCGGGGAAGCCAAGACAGGTGGATTACTTGAGGCCAGGAGTTTGAGAACAGCCTGGCTGACATGGTGAAACCCCATCTCTACTGAAAATATAAAAATTAGCCAGACATGGTGGCGCACGCTTGTAATCCTGGCTATTTGGGAGGCTAAGGTGGGAGGATCGCTTGAACCCGGGAGGCAGAGGTTGCAGTGAGCCGAGATTGTGCCACTGTGCTCCAGCCTGAGCAACAGAGCAAGACTCTGTCTCAAAAAACAGAAATTCTTCTTGTAATATTTAGTTTCCTGTCTGCTGTCATGTGCTGGGTTGTTCTAAGGCAGTGTTGGCTGTTTCCGTGTTCTGTCTTTCCCTTTGTTCTTACATCATGTATTTCTCTTGTACTTGGTTATCTTGGTGGTGGGATCATCTTCTGTGGTCAGAAGATGCAAATGAATCCGGCCACAGCATTATGGGTTGTGAGTCCCTGCAGAATAGCATCCTAGAACAGTGGGGCATGATGTCAGAGTTTTATTCAAATCATGCCAGAAACCTATTCTATTTCAGTAGTATTTTTGGGTCCAGACAAGTAGGCACACATGATTTCTGTATCGTCTTTTCTCCTTCATTCTTGTTTTTGGTTTTGTTTGTTTTTTGAGACAGGATTTTGGTCTGTTGCCCAGGCTGGAGTGAAGTAGCTTGATCTTGGCTCACTGCAACCTCTGCCCCCCGGGCTGAAGCAATTCTCCTGCCTCAGCCTCCTGAGAAGCTGGGAATACAGGTGCATGCCACTATGCCCAGCTAATTATTATTTTTTTGAGACATAGTCTCACTTTGTTGCCCAGGGTGGAGTGCAGTGGTGTGATCTTGGCTCACTGCAACCTCCGCCTCCTGGTTTCAAGCAATTCTTCTGCCTCAGCCTCCCGGGTAGCTGGGACTGCAGGCGCGTGCCACCATGCCTGGCTAATTTTTGTATTTTTAGTAGATAGGGGGTTTCACCATATTGGCCAGGCTGGTCTCAAACTCCTGACCTCATGATCCGCCCGCCTCGGCCTCCCACAGTGCTGGGATTACAGGCATGATCCATTGTGCCTGGCCTTCTCCATTCTTTTTTTTTTTTGAGACAGAGTTTCACTCTTGTGGTCCAGACTGGAGTGCAATGGTGCCATCTCGGCTCACTGCAACCTCTGTCTCCCAGGCTCAAGCGATTCTCCTGCCCTCAGCCTCCTGAGTACCTGGGATTATAGTCATGTGCCACCACGCCCGGGTAATATTTTGTATTTTTAGTAGAGACAGGGTTTCTACATGTTGGTCAGGCTGGTCTTGAACTCCTGACCTCAGGTGATCTGCCCACCTTGGCCTCCCAAAGTGCTGGGATTACAGGTGTGACCCATGGTGCCCAGCCCTTTTCTTCCCTCTTCCCTCTACTCTCCTCTCTTTTCTTTTCTTTTTTGAGACAGGTTCTCACACTGTCACTTGCTGTTACCTGGAGTGCCGTGGTGTGAATATAGCTCACTGCAGCCTCAACCTCCTGGGCTCAAGTGATCCTCCAGCCTCAGTCTCCTGAGTAGGTGGGACTACAGGTGCATGCCATCACGCCTGGCTATGTTTGCAGAGAGGAGGTTTTGCTGTGTTGCCCGAGGTGGTCTCAATCTCCTGACCTTGAGCAATCCCTTTGCCTTAGCCTCCCAAAGTGCTGGGATTACAGGCATGAGTCACCACGCTTGACCATTTTAAAAATAATTTCTGTAGCGATGGGGTCTCACCATATTTCCCAGGCTGGTCTTGGATTTCTAGGTTCAGGTGATCTTCCTACGTTGGGATTACAGCTGTGAGCCACTGCTCCTGGTCTCTTCCCCATTGTTAAGAGCATCAGAATTGTCAGTTGTACTCTTTGTCAGTTGTACCCTTTTTTTTTTTTTTAATGCTTTGTACATGAGCTTGTAGTCTGATATTTAGTCCCCCAAATAATCTTCACGTCTCTGGACCCCACATCTTAATTTTACTCACATCTTCATCTGCAGTGGTTTCCAGTATTAGCATACAGGTTTTGTGTTAGCAAATGGTACACTTTGTTAAACTGTCCTCAAGCAGTAGCTGCTGTGTTGTGCTCCTGTTTTCCTTGGCCTGGACAAATCCCTCTCTATAGCACTCACATGTCATGAGGATGTAAAGTTCTGCAGATGAGTGGTTTGCAGATGCAGGAATTGTAGACCCTGCCTATACTCCCTGTGTTACATACCTGGTTGTGTCCTTTACGTCATGAGGCCTCCTACATTCTGTGACTTTTAGAGTCCAGTAATAATAAATAGCACCATCTTCCACCTGAAGCCAACGTTCTGTTCCTCCAAGTATTTCCTTGGAGTAATTCCTCAGTTTTTCAGATACACTTGTGGGTGGTCTGTGCCTTCCCATCAGAGTTAACATGCACTTCACTAGCATTTTCTTGCTTTCAGGTTGTTGGTGTGGAGTGGAAGATGAGGAGGCACCTTCTAAGCAGAGTATATATATACAAAGAGAGACTCAGGTCAGGATTCCTATGGCAGGTGTGTCTCTCAAGAAGGTCCACCCCTGTGAGATGTGCGGCCCTATCTTAGGAGACATTCTGCACATGGGAGATCATCAGGGAACACATCCCAAGCAGAAACTGCACAGCTGTGAGGCCTGGGGGAATAAATTGTATGACAGTGGAAACTTTCATCAACACCAGAATGAGTACGTTGGAGAGAAACCCTACAGAGGCAGTGTTAAGGAAGCGTTGTTTGTGAAGAGGTGTAAGTTCCATGTGTCAGAGGAGTCATCTGTCTTCAGTCAGAGTGGGAAAGACTTTCTGCCCAGGTCAGGATTACTCCAGAAAGAGGCCACTCACACTGGGGAGAAGTCAAACAGAAAAACCGAGTGTGTGTCTCCCTTTCATGGGGGAAAGACTCATTACAGCTGTGGAGGATGCATGAAACATTTTAGCACCAAACATATACTCAGTCAGCACCAGAGACTGCTCCCTAGAGAAGAATGTTACGTGTGGTGTGAATATGGGAAATCCTTTAGCAAATACAATAGCTTCAGTAATCATCAAGGAGTTCATGCTAGAGAAAAACCTTATACATGTGGGATATGTGGGAAATTATTTAACAGTAAGTCCCACCTCCTTGTTCACCAGAGAATTCACACTGGAGAGAAGCCGTATGAATGTGAGGTTTGTCGGAAATTTTTTAGGCACAAGTACCACCTCATTGCACACCAGAGAGTTCACACTGGAGAAAGGCCATATGAATGCAGTGATTGTGGAAAGTCATTTACCCACAGCTCTACATTTCGTGTTCACAAGAGAGTTCACACTGGTCAGAAGCCTTATGAGTGCAGTGAATGTGGGAAATCTTTTGCTGAAATCTCCAGTCTCACTAATCACAGGAGAGTTCACACTGGAGAAAAGCCTTACGGGTGTAGTGAATGTGAAAAAAAATTTAGGCAAATCTCTTCACTTCGTCATCATCAGAGAGTTCACAAAAGAAAGGCCTTATAAGTGCAGTGAGTCCAGTCTCAGTAAATACAGGAGAGCACACACCTGAGTAAGATCCTGTGATTGTAGCAAATGTGGAAAATGTTTACCCAAAGGTCTGCTCTCCTCGGACATTGGAGAATTCACACTAGAGAAGAGTCCTTATAAGTAAAATAAATTTGGGCAGTTTTGTAGCCACACCTCTGTATTCCTTCAGGATTATAGTTAACACTGAATGAAGGCCTTACAAGTGTGACAAATATAGGATATTTATCCAGAAGTCTGGCTTCATAACTCACAGGAGAGCTGTCGTGGGAAGATTGCTTGAACCTGGGAGGCAGAGGTTGCAGTGAGCTGAGATCGCAACACTGCAGTCTAGCCTGGGTGACAGAGACCCTGTCTCTGTCTAAAATAAAGACATAAATGATGTCCAATAAAGTATGCGTATTTGAGCTGTAGGATAAGTCTTGATAAGCCTTGAATTTTCTTTTTTTTTTTTTGGAGACAGAGTCTTACTCTGTCGCCCAGGCTGGAGTACAGTGGCGTGATCGCAGCTCACCGGAAGCTCCGCCTCCTGGGTTCACGCCATTCTGCCTCAGCCTCCCAAGTAGGTGGGACTACAGGCACCTGCTATTTTTAGTAGAGACGGGGTGTCACCCTGTTAGCCAGGATGTTCTCGATCTCCTGACCTTGTGATCTGCCCGCCTCAGCCTCCCAAAGTTCTGCAATTACAGGTGTGAGCCACTGCTCCTGGCTTGAATTTTCTTATAGTCCCATGAAATCATCATCAGAGTCACAATAATGAATTTAATCTATCACCTTTGTATTTACATGGAGGCTTTATAAAGTTTTTCTCTCTGCTCTCCAGACAACCATTGATTTACTCTGCTTTATAATAGAGTACTTTCCATTTTCTGGAATTTTCTGACTGATGTAATAAAGTGTTTCCTCTTATAATTCCTGGGTGGCGTCCTGCATCATGCTTATTTTGGTATCAGTGTAGACATATGAGTTCATTTGTTTTATATTGCTGAGAAGTATAGTCTGCCATGATATGTCATTGTATATTCATTCATTCATTCATCCATTTATGGATATTTGAGTTGCTGCTTGCTTTTTTTTTGTTTTAAGACTCTGTCGACCAGGTTGGAGTCCTGGTGAACCTCCACTTCCCAGGTTCAAGCGATTCTCCCACCTGAACCTCCCACATAGCTGGGATTACATGCGTGAGCCACCATGCCCGGTTGTTTTTTTGTATTTTTGGAAGAGATGGGGTTTCGCCGTGTTAGCAGGTTCGTCTCAAACTCCTGGCCTCAAGTGATCTGCCTGCCTTGGCCTCCCAAAGTGCTAGGATTACAGGCCTGAGCTGTGAGCCACCACACCTGTAACTGATTCTGAGGCTGGGCGTGGTGGCTCACACATGTAATCCCAGCACTTTGGGAGGCCAAGGTGGGCGGATCACTTGAGGTCAGGAGTTTGAGACCAGGTGGGCCAACATGGTGAAACCCCATCTCTACTAAAAATACAAAAATTAGCCAGGCGTGATGGCACATGCCTATAATCCCAGCTACTCACTCATGAAGCTGAGGCAGGAGAATTACTTGAACCCAGGCAGCAGAGGTTGCAGTGAGCTGAGATCACACCACTGCACTCCAGTCTGGGCGACAGACTCTGTCTCTAAAAAAAATAAATAAATAAAACATTTATTCTGAGATAATCCCAGTTCCCAGTGTGAAACTATTCCTGCAGTCACTGGAAAATAATAACCACTTTCTTGTAAGTAGATGACATTTTGGAGCTCAGATGCCGTGTTTATGCTATCATTCAGATGGCCTTTTTTACCTGTGCAGTAATTGTGAAAGTTGTAGCCGCTGATGTGTACCACAGTGGCATTGGTTAAGTTGCCCTTCCTTTGAGACAGATGTCAATGTGATAAAAGAAATTGAGGGCAGGGTGCGGTGGCTCAGGCCTGTAATCCCAGCACTTTGTGAGGCCGAGGCAGACGGATCACGAGGTCAGGAGATCGAGACCATCCTGGCTAACAAGGTGAAACCCCGTCTCTACGAAAAATACAAAAAATTAACCAGGGTAGTGGGGGGAGCCTGTAGGTTGAGGTTGGGCAGGAGAATGGCATGAACCCGGGAGGCGGAGCTTGCAGTGAGCCCAGATCCTGCCACTGCACTCAAACCTGGAGGACTCAGTGAAACTCAGTCAAAAAAAAAACAAAAACAAACAAAAAAAAAAAAAAAAGTTCTAAGTTGCTAGCCAATGGGGACAAATACAGAATGTGAGGTCCCGTTTCAGCCAATGGAAACCGACACAGCAGTAGGGTGGACGCCTCCGGTTATAAATGACCCTGTCTCCTTAGTTTTGCGTACTCTAGTGGCAAAACTGCTAGCGAGTGCACCCTTTCTGCAGGAAGGAAAAATGGCCTTACTAAGTAAATTTATGTTCAAGTGCTATTTCTTTACCGCACCAGAGAACAAGCATTTCAAGCAATTTGGTGGCAATCCGTACAGGGACACATTCTCCTCTGGGGCGGTGTCCAGTCCTCTCTCATGGGGTAGTGCGCTCCCCTACCTCATTGCAATGTCGTCTAAGGGTAAGAAATTGAGACCCACCCAGTGTGACGAATAAATCCGTACTCTCAGCAATGGAAACAACAAAAACAAAAACAAAACTGGCCAGCAACCTAGCTTAAAGATCCTCACATAATGCCGCGACAACTGTGCACAGACCACGGAAGGAGAAGCTGCAGGACCCGGTAAAGTATTTCCTTGGTGGGTGGTCGGGGACTAAGGAAAAAGCCGGGATGGTAAAGCATTCCTTGGTTAGGACATACCAAGGAGAGAAAAACCGCAGGGGTGGTAAAATATTCCTTAGGATGTCTTGGGAGGTCAGAAAGAGGTGAGAAATCCCCAGTCGGGGGTTGAACCTCACACAAACCTCCAGTAGTAAGAAAAATATTCAGAACTCCCCTTTCCTTTTCAGAGGAAGAAACAATAGCTCCGCTCCTGCCGGTCCCTCCGCTAGGGGAGGGAAAAGCCGAGGAGAAAACAGCAGCATAGGTGGCTGGCAGAGAGAAAGGAAAGACCAGCAGAAAAGAAAAAGAAACTAGGAGAGGAAGTCAGAGAGAAAGAAAACAAAAACAGCAAGCGCAGAGCCAAACAGCTAGGCAGGCAGGCCAAAGATTAAGTCCCTCTTCCCGAAAAGAGGTTGGGGACCGGCTCCGGGTGGAGGGCATAGGAGTTGAAAAGACATAATTCTTGCAATTTGCGGCCGGCATATCTGTCAAGCTGCTAGGCCAATGACTGCCCGGCGCCCAGACTGCAGTCGCGAAAATCCCATTCAATCCAAGAAACTAAGTGTAAAAAGAAAAGGGGGTGGGGGAGTAAAAAGGGGAATCTGGGAAAAAACAACAACTACAGGAAAAATAGCGCGGAGGCGGGGCCTGTGCGGTGGCCCAGCCCTGCTTGCGGCAGGAGCAGGAGAACTCAGGAGAACAAAGGGAAACGGGATGAGAGAGCGCGGAAAATAGAGTGCAAATGAGAGAGATAAATAGAAGGAAAGAGTGAGAGAAAGTGGAAGAGACAGAAATCAAAAAAAGACAAAGAAGGTGAAACTAGGAAAAAAAATAGTATAAAAGGAAGGCAGAAAGTTAAGACATGTTAAAGATTGTGAAAGTTGTAAGAAAAGCTATAAAAGGGAATTTATGCAATAAATATTGTATAATTTAAAAGTAATTAGGCCTCCTGGATGTAAAATTATTATTAAACAGTTTATGTACAAGGTATGTAAGAAAAATAAAATCTACTTTTAATAAGATTACAAGGAGGCATAAGAATATGGATGTTTACCTACATTAAAGGTTAAAAAAATTTTTTTGTTTTAAAGGTTTAAGCAAGTTTTACAATGTTAATTGTAAAGGAAATTCTGTGTGTAAACATACTGGCTAAAGTTAAAAGGGTATCATCCAGTTTTTCTGTGAACTGGACATTAAAATTAAAGCATGATAGATTTTTCTTAAAGCACCAACCTGCTCTTTAACAAAAATTATAAAAAGAGTCTGTAAAAGTCTTACCTTAGAGTCAGACATTAAAATTAGATAGTGTCTATAAGATTTTATTAAAATTAAGTTTAACATTAATAGCACATTAATATAAACTTTAACTTACCTGATATAAAATCATACAAAAAAACATTGTCAAATATACAATGGTATTTAGCTTTCTTAAGGCCCTAAGGTGGCCAGGTAAGTCACAAGGCCCCTCATCCCCAAGGCCACAGTGAGCAAGGGCGGTGAAGGCCACAAGAAGGCCAAGACATTAAGGGGCAGGGCCGCAGCATCCCCTGGCCGGCGCTGAACAACAGTGGAGCAGAAGGCGTCACCATGTGGCCTAAAGCCCCAGAATATGCAGCAAAAATTACATACTTAATTTATCTTCCACTTTCCTTTCCCTCGGAACTAAAAGTCTTTTAGCACAGGTACCACCCCTAGAATTTCCAGTACACCAGCACCAGCCTGAAAACCACATCCTCATCAAAAGATAGAAAAAGCTCAAGCCAGCCTGGGAAGAACTCTATTTTACACCGTTAACCACTGAGACTGCCGTCCGCACAGCCGAGAAAGAAAAAATGGACCCACCATACTCAAGTCAAGAAAACATCTTCCTCTGAGAATTATGGGTTACTGTACTAGGATCAAGCCCTACTAAGTTAAAGAAAGATTAATTTTCATACACCTTTTATATTGCTTTCTTTATTGTTACTAGCTCCTTTTTTATTAATGTAAGTCTGACTCACCTCAGACTATTGCTTTTTTTTTTTTTTTTGAGACGGAGTCTCGCTCTGTCGCCCAGGCTGGAGTGCAGTGGCGCGATCTCGGCTCACTGCAAGCTCCGCCTCCTGGGTTCACGCCATTCTCCTGCCTCAGCCTCCCGAGTAGCTGGGACTACAGGCGCCCACAACCGCGCCCGGCTAATTTTTTGTATTTTTAGTAGAGACGGGGTTTCACCGTGGTCTCGATCTCCTGACCTTGTGATCCGCCCGCCTCGGCCTCCCAAAGTGCTGGGATTACAGGCGTGAGCCACCGCGCCCGGCCGACTATTGCTTTTAATGCTTGCTGTCATACCTTGTAGAAATGTAAAAGATCAACAGCTAGCCTTTTCACACAAATATTTATGTCGCAGCCCTCTAATTGACACAGTTATCCCGAGCACTCATTGTTGTAATGACCTGCAGCCAGGACCGATTTTCTGCTCCTACCGCCTGGCAACCTTGTAGTAAATAAGACTACATCCCATAAACTACCCAAGAGCAAAGTTAGACTTCCACAAAAAGGTTTGTGCAGATCTAAAACCCCTCATCTATTTCACTAAAAGGACTACCCCTTCTGTCAGCCTTGTCAATATAACCCTGTCCTTCTCTTTATCACCACCTCCACCTTAACTAACTCTAGACCTGCCCTTAGTCACTTCTATGGTATAAAAATTAACATAAATAGGCTGGGCGTGGTGGCTCACGCCTGTAATCCCAGCACTTTCGGAGGCCGAGGCAGGTGGATCACCTAAGGTCAGGAGTTCGAGACCAGCCTGGCCAAGATGGTGAAACCCCGTCTCTACTAAAAATACAAAAATTAGCCAGGTGTGATGGTGGGCGCCTGTAATCCCAGCTACTCTGGAGGCTGAGACAGGAGAATCACTTGAACCTGGGAGGTGGAAGTTGCAGTGAGCAAAGATCATACCATTGCACTCCAGCCTGGGTAAAAGAGTGAAACTCTGTCTCAAAAAAAAAAAAAACAGAAAAAAGAAAAGAAAATTTCACTCTCCATAAAAGTTACAGGAAGATATGTATCAGCGAGTGTGAGTGGTCATAACATGGTTAATTTGAATAAGTCATTTTATGACTTCTAGATGACACCCCACACACCTGTATTGATTCAGAATCACTGGACATCTTTCCAGCGAGAAGGGAATAAAATACTAATAACTGTGAAAATAAAATGTACCTACAAAACATGTTGTCATTAAGCAACATTTAGGGATTGAGATGTTTTACGTCCCTGATTATCTTGCTGTTGGTAATTTACGATCTTTTTATTCATGTAACTTAAGTATTTTTCCATTCACTAAATGGGACAGGAAGTTTTAACTCTTGCATTCAACACGTTAATGAAATAGTCCTGCAGCTCGCATTTGTAAATCATGTTCCCAAAAGGATAAAAATGCATATCCAAAAAATGTTATAAGGACACTAAACATCAACTCAAAAACTATGGGTAAAAGTCTTCTTGTTCTTCACTTTATGTGAGTAAAGGTTTTTTTATTTTATTTTATTTTTTTTGAGATAGAGTCTCACTCTGTCGCCCAGGCTATTGTCCAGTGGTGCGATCTCGGCTAACAGCAAGCTCTGCCTCCTGGGTTCAAGCCATTCTCCTGCCTTAGCCTCCTGAGTAGCTGGCACTACAGGCGCCCGCCACCACGCCCAGCTAATTTTTTTTTTTGTATTTTTAGTAGAGATGGGGTTTCACCATGTTAGCCAGGATGGTCTCGATCTCATGATCTTGTGATCCACCCGTCTTGGCCTCCCAAAGTGCTTGGATTACAGGCGTGAGCCACTGCACCTGGCCAAGTAAAGCTTATAATGAATGTTGTGAGAATGTTTTGGTTATCAATGAGAATACTTTAAAGAGAGTATGAGAGACAATATGGAAAAGAGATCCTAGGCAGCCCTAAGGGAATTACACAAGGTGGTACCATGCCTCTGAGTCCCTCCGACTATGTTCTATCTCTTCATCTGTATTGTGTTCCAATCCCACAAAGCAGCAGCATTTTTCTATTTAACACTTTTTTTTTTTTTAAATAATTTAATGTGGTATAAGTGTGATTTGGTTACATGTACAGATTGTGTAGAAGCTAAATTAGGGCTTTAGGGTATCCATCACTCAAATAGTATCCATTGTACCCATTAAATAATTTCTCATCATCCACCCTCCATCACGTCTAAATTGTCTAAGATATTACAATTTCTTCTAAGATTCTGACACTTATCTGGGAATAGTAGTTGCTTATTAAATCAATATTTGCCATGGTGGTTGCGATGTTGACATTCCTGCAGGTGTGGAACAAGACTATCTGATTCTTGATAAATTATCTTGTATTACATGATCCAACTTCCTTGCTAGGAAGTGATTATCATTTCACTTGTAGGTGCAGTGATAGCGTCTGCATGAAGACTGGAGATTATCTCTGAAACACAGTTGAGGACCGAGATGATTACAAAGTAATTAATGTGGATTCAGAGAGTTATCCATTGACAATGACATAAGTAGCTAGTAAAGTTTCTGTGATGGCCAAGAACACATTAAGTCTCAATGGATAGTAAGTAGAGAACAGTAAGCTCTAAGTTCTGAGATAATTAAGTGAAACTCACGGCTATCATGAAAACTTGGTTAACATGAAATTCTTATTTCAACAAAGTGCATATCCTTTCCATTTATGAGAACTCTGAGGAATAACAAACTTGGAGAGAAAGAAATAGTATGGCAGGAGTAGAAAGATGTGGAATAGAAGGGAAGCCATAGCATATTTGTCGAAAAAAATAAACTTTTCCTCTGTTGTCTGTCACACAACAATAACCAATATGGAATAATTCTGTGACCAGATATGCAGGGTGTTTTCTACCCATACCAAGCAATCCTCCAGTGGATACAAGCTGGGGGTCCTCCAGTTCAACTCAGTCATTATCTACCCGCAGATAGCATCACATCCCCCAGTTTGACGACTCAGTCACCAAAACTGACGCTCCCATTTCTGATGCCAATCAAAGCCCCAGAGCCTCTGCTTTTGACTGATGAACTATAAACCAGGAATCCCATGGACCCCCCATGACCAGATTTGATTAATTTGATAGAGCGGCACATAAAACTCAGGGAAAATAATTTACTGGTTAATTATAAATAGTACAAAACATGCAGATAGAGATGCATAGGGTAAAGTATGAGAAAAGCGCTTGGAGCTTCCATGCCCTCTTGCAAAGACTGAAGGTGTCTTAAACAACAGGGCCTTTATTATAACACAAATCAGGGCAATAGGCAGCAGGCTGTCTGAGATTCATGACTGGCAGGCTGGAAAATTCCATCTTAAGAATTCTGTGAGATCCAAAAGATCCCTGAAAAAGGCAGTCCATCTTTTCAGGTTATCAGAAGAGTCCTCTGTGCCAAAAATGTGTCAGTTTCATGGCCTAACTCATCAGAGAGAAAGAAATGAGAATAGAGTGAGTACTGAGGATACTAAAAAATCCCTCTGTTGAATGAAACAAAATCAAAGTTACTTCTGGATCATGATGAGTTAGGCGAATGATGTACTGTGGGCACCTGCCAACTGGTAAAGGTGAAATGCTTTTTAGAAGAGAACTGTCAGTCACAGAAGTCTAGCAAGAGACCTGGGCAGGCTGAAAAATACTATGTGGTTCCCACATACCTGGAATGTATGCAGCTATTTGATGTATGGCACATTCAATTTAGGCAGATGGCATCCTCATAAGGGGTCTCCTCCAGTGTCAAACTGAAGAAGAAATAATATTGCCTCCACATCTGTGGTATTTTCCTCATGTAAATATTCTGGTAACCAATGAGAGATGATGAAGGCTTTCTCACATTCATTGCACTCAAAAGGCACTTCTTCAGTGGTAGCACTCTTTTATGTAAAGAAGCTAGCATTCCAGCTAAAGAATATTCCCCATTTGCCACACTCATAACACCTTGATCCAGTGTGAACTCTCTCGCCTTGAAGGAGCAAAAAGCCTGGGCAAGAGAATTTCCAAAATTTGCTTCACTTACAAAGCCTCATTCCAGTATGAACTCTCTGATGGCGACGGAACGAAGAACTGTGGCGAAATGATTTTCCACAATCAATGCATTCATATGGCCTTTCCCCAGTGTGAACTCTCAAGTGTTTAATAAGGCTGGAGTTTTCAGCAAAGGATTTCTTACATTCACTGCACTCATAAGGCCTTTCTCCAGTGTGAACTCTCAGATGTATAATAAGGCTAGATCTTCGGCTAAAGGATTTCCCACACTGCCCACACTCATGCCTTTCTCCAGTATGAACTCGCTGATGGTGAATGAGGTTGGACCTTAAGCTAAAGGATTTTCCACATTCACTACATTCATAAGGCCTTTCTCTAGTGTGAACTCTCTGATGCTGCAAGAGTGAAGAGCTTCGGCGAAATGATTTTCCACACTCACCACATGCATAAGGCCTTTCTCCCGTGTGAACTCTCAAGTGTTTAATAAGACTGGAGTTTTCAGCAAAGGATCTCCCACATTCACTGCACTCATAAGGCCTCTCTCCAGTGTGAATCCTCCTGTGTTTAATGAGACTAGATGTATAAGCAAAGGACTTCCCACATTCATTGCATTCATAACGCTTTGCTCCAGAGTGAACTTTCCTGTGGTTAATGAGACCGGACTTTTCAGCAAAGCCTTTCCCACATTCAATACACTCATAAGGCTTTTCTCTAGTGTGAAGCGTCTGATGCTGCAAGAGTGAAGAGCTCTGGTGAAATGATTTTCCACACTCACTGCATTCATAGGTCTTTTGCCCAGTATGAAATCTCTCACCAATATGGAGTGTAGGGTTTTGGTGAAATAAATTCCCATATTTGCTGCACTCACAAGGTCTTTCTCCAGTGCGAACATTCCTGTGTTTGTGATCTCTTCTGGGTTCAGTGAGGCAGGACTTGTTCTTTAATAATTTCCTATATTCCCCACACTCATAAGGCCTTTCTCCACTATGACCTCCCTGGTCTTTGTATATATGTATACAAGTGCTCTGCTTAGAAGGTGCTGCCTCATCTTCCCCTCCATGCCAACAACCTAAAAGCAAAGAAACGCTGGTGAGGTACATGTTGACTTTGTTGAGTATGCAGTCTACCTACAAGAGTATCTGACAAACAAAAAAACTAGTCTATGGAGTTATCTGCACGCATAGGGAGTTGGGTTCAGGTTGAGGTTGGGGCTGCTTAGCATTATCACAGATATAGGAGGCCTCATGTTGTCAAGGGCATGACTAAATGAGGCAACAGACAGAATAACGGCAGGGTCTATAACTCCTTCATTTGCAAACAACTTGCCTGTGGGACCTTATTTGCTGATGACATGTGAGTACTATATAAAGAATATGTCCAGGCCACCACAACATGACTAGAGCACGACATCCTTTGGTCAGGGACTGTTAAGAATGAGTATATACATGGCCAAGAAACGTGGCTCATGCCTCTAATCCCAGCACTTTGGGAGGCCGAGGCGGGTGGATCACAAGGTCAGGAGTTTGAGACCAGCCTGGTCAACATGGCAAAACCCCTTCTCTACTAAAAACAAAAAAGTTAGGCAGGCATGGTGGCGTGCGCCTGTAATCCCAGCTACTCAGGAGGCTGAGGCAGGAGAATCACTCGAACCTGGGAGGCGGAGGTTCCAGTGAGCTGAGATCACATTATTGCACTCCAGCCTGGGAAACAAGAGTGAAACTCCATCTCAAAAGAAAAAAAAGAATGGGTATATACTTCATAATACAAAACACATGAGTCAATATTGAAGACCACTGCAGACAGAGCAGTGAGAAAAATCGGTGAGATGTGGAGTCCAGATATATGAAAATTAGTCCTGGGTTGAATGTAACAGCAGAAGCGACAAGGTGTAGGACTAATAAATTGGCACTCTCAATAATGGGGAAGGAAAGACATAAAGCGGGGCTACTTCTATTGGCACGGAAATACTGTCAAATAGAAGAGGTATATGGCATAATTTGAATAGAGCCCTGATGTCATGACCTCACTCACATGCTATTCTTCAGAAGAAAGCTGCCCCAAGTCCTTGCTAAGGCTGGACTCATTTACATCTTAGGGACAACCACGGGCTCTTCATTTCACCACCAAGATGAGCAACTACATGGAAACTCAATAATGTTAAGTACTAAGAGAAACATAGGACAGATGAACGGCCAATACTGGCTCAGAACAACTCTGCATTTGATATTCCACAGGAAAGGAAACTAAATATTATAAAAAGAATTCCTTCCTATAAATTTTTAGAGATAAGGACCTGCTGTGTTGGCCAGGGTGGCCTCAAACTCCTGGGATCTGAGTAGCCTCTGAAGAGCTGGGATGACAGGTATTATTGTGCCTGATGAAATACTACAAAAAGAATTTTGAAGTAGGGTATTGCAAGAACAGGCTGTGGTTCATGTACATAATGACCATGTCAGTGCCGGCAATTTGTGACATGAACAAATGTGAGCTAGAGGAAGGAAATGGAACTTGAGACAAACAGAAGCCTTGGATCTGCACAGCCACCCAGACAGGCAGAGGACAACCAAGGTGGGATACATTAGGGTGACTTTAAGACTCCTGACCCTGACTCCTTCTCTGGAAGCCTGCAACAAAGCAGGCTGGAGCTGCTTAAGGAAAGGAGAGTAAGTACACCTCAGTCCAACCAACAACAGAACCTCTCCAGAGAACTAGAGAATGAAGCTGTGTCCATGGTCCTGATGTGAGAAAGCGATAAGGCATAAAGGAGAGGGGCAGAGACTAACTCAGGTCACAGGTGAATATGAGTACCTTACCCAGGGAGGATATAAGTGTCAAGGTCTCCAGCATCACGTCATGGTACAGGCATCTCTGAGCCTCATTAAGAAGACTCCATTCCTCCAGGGAAAAGTTTACAGCCACGTCTTCAAAGGTCACACTGCTCTGTCATGATGGGGATAGATGAAACCACAAATGGCCCCTATGCTGAAGACCCACAATCCACTTCCCCAACATATCTACCCTTGCCCATCCTCCTTCTCCCAGGATCCCCAACTCAGAAGAGAAACTTTGCCCACTAGTGCCACTGTGTCCTCATGGGACCATTAATCATGACACATAGCCATCAGCAACAAGACGCAGATAAGCAAACAGGTATCTCTGCTGTGGTCCTGAAATAAAGGGTTTCATCCTCTCCTTTCTAGCAATTCCCCTGGTAGAGCAAAGGTCACGTGAATCCCAATGCAGTGCCTGAGGCCTTTCAAACATAATCTTTATGTACATACACATCCTTCACATCTTTGGACGCCACAGACACATGCCAATTGCCGCCACTACCTAACTGCCCACACCATAGGCCTCTCTCTGGTCTTGCCAGAAGTTAAAGTATTTTAATCACCCTTTCTTCTACTGGTAAGAGTAGGAGTCTCACCCTAGGGTTATGGTGATGGCCAAACACACAACACCTGACGCTGAACACAAGTCATCAAGAAAGTTCATTAATCAAATATGCTCACAGCTTGAAAGAAGAGGACACTACTCACCACAGACAGCCACATGGGGGGTTGAACTATGCATAAGAGAGAGCAGCCAGGTGCAGTGGCGCACACCTGTAATCCCAGCACTTTGGGAGGCCGAAGCAGGTGGATCACCTGAGGTCAGGAGTTCGAGACCAGCCTGAACAACAAGGTGAAACCCCGTCTCTACTAAAATACAAAAATTAGCCGGATGTGGTGGCGTGCACCTGTAGTCCCAGCTACTCAGGAGGCTGAGACAGGAGAATCTCTCGAACCCGGGAGATGGAGGTTGCAGTAAGCCCAGATGGCACCACTGCACTCCAGCCTGGGCAATGGAGCGAGACTCTGTCTCTAAAAAAAAAAAAGAGAGAGAGCGCAACCAGGGACTGTGGTATGTAAGCTTTGCTCAATCAAGAGGGTGTGATAGTCCCTGATTCCCTTAAAGAATGCAACTGGCTTGTTTTTATTTTTAATTTTTGAGACAGGGTCTTGCTCTGTCACTCCTGCTGGAGCGTAGTGGCACAATCACAGCCCACTGCAGCCTGAACTCACTGGGTTCCAGCAATCCTCCCACCTCAGCCTCCTAAGTAGCTGGGACCACAGGTGTGTGACACCACACCCAGCTGCAACTGGCTTGTTTGAATCTCTGCGGGTAGAAATGAAATTGAAACCTGCTACAAATAAATAATAACCAGGAACTCTGCCTAGTCCTCTTGATTAAAAGGGTAGTTAGGCTAGGACACATTATCCAAAAGAGCAGAGTGGGGAGGGGGATTTGCACTCAGACCATTTGAGGTATCACCAGACATAAAGGTAGCACATGATACTGGCCTTAACTTCAGGGCTTATACCATAATGTGGCTGACATCATCCACAGTAGTCTTGGTAAATTAAAAAGGAATCCAAAATTACCACAGAATTCTAATGTTTCTCAATAGCAGTGGTAGCCCCAAATCATTCTTTGAACCCCATGCATAAATCCACAGACAAAAAGAACCACTAGCATTTTCAGATATTTATGGTGCTATTGCACTTCTGTGCTGCATTTGCTATCCTCAGAAACTATGACTTTTTATTTATTATTTTTTGAGACGGAGTTTCACTCTTGTTGCTCAGGCTGGAGAGCAATGGCGCGATCTCGGCTCACCGCAAACTCCACCTCCCAGGTTTAAGTGATTCTCCTACCTCAGTCTCCCGAGTAGCTGGGATTAGAGGCATGTGCCACCACGCCTGGCTAATTTTATACTTTTTAGTAGAGATGGGGTTTCTCCATGTTGGTCAGGCTGGTCTCGAACTCCCGGCCTCAAGTGATCCACCTGCCTCAGCCTCTCAAAGTGCTGGGATTACAGGTGTGAGCCACCATGCCCGGCTGACTTTTTTTTTGAGACAGAGTTTCACTTTTGTCGCCCAGGCTGGTGTGCAATGACACAATCTTGGTTCACTGCAACCTCTGCCTCCCAGGTTCAAGTGATTCTCCTGTCTCAGCCCCTGAATAGCTGGGATTACAGGTGCCTGCCACCACGTCAGCTACTTTTTTTTTTTTTTTTGTTGGGGTTGGGTTTTCCCCCGTTTGGGGTTGTTGTTTTGGACCCCCGGCCTTCTTTTTACTTGCCCCCTTTGGCTTCCCAAGTTGTTGGGTTTCCGGTTTTGGGCCCTTTGCCCGGCACCTATGACTTTCTTCTGTCCACCTAACCCCATTCAAAGCCCAGAATCATTGGTCATCAATCTTGGGCATAGTGACTCTCACAAGGTGACCATATTTGCCTCCATATCTGGTACCAGGCTGAATGAAACACCCCAGGCCACACCAAAGTCATCTCAAAATCTTGGTGAGGCCACAAAGTAGCCAATAAACACAAGCTCCGGCCTGAGTGTCATCTTCCCTCAGCTACTCCTATGCGTCAGCAAGCATCTCAAGTCTATTCATTCCTTGGAAGCATTATGTCACTTGCCAAACTAGGCTGTCAGATATATCCTCCCTTTCCAGTCTGACCAAGATGGTGAAACCCCGTCTCTACTAAAAATGCAAAGATTAGCTGGATGTGGTGGCAGGCGCCTATAATCCCAGCTACTTGGGAGGCTGAGGCAGGAGAATCATTTGAACCCGGGAGGCAGAGGTTGCAGTGAGCCGAGTGAGGTTGCACTGCACTCTAGTCTGGGCGACAGAGCAAAACTGTCTCAAAAAAAAAAAAAGAAAAAAAAAAAGAAACAGATATACCCTCCCTTCATGGCCATTTACCTCCCTCACCTGTGTTTCTGAAATCCAATACCATCACCAGGTACACAAGCAGGAAACCCAATCCCCACTTCCTGTCCAACAGTGTCATCAACATAATCTGAAGGTTGTGCCTTCCAAATGTGAGCCATGACTCAATCATCTCAGTCCACACAGTAGTCACCATATATTAGATACCTCCAATATCAACCCTTCCCCAGATATTTGCATCTATGTGTCCAGCTGCCCATTTGATAGCTCCACTAAGTAGTATCTAATACATTTTAGAATCTTAACATGGCTGTGATATTGAGAAATATATATTTGGTCATCTCCTTTTCTGGCATGCAACTCCTAAAATTCACGAAATTCTCAAATTTAAGTGAGTTTCAATGGTAATGAGTTGAATGATGGTTGGTAACCCCTAGATAACTTCACGATGGAGACTCGTCAGGGAAAAGACTATGTCGGGATTCGAGGTCTGGAAAGTTCAGCCCCCACTGCAATCTCCAGAAAGGGGAGAGGGGGCCAAGGGTTAAGCTGATCAGCATTGGCCAATGATTTAATTAATCGTGCCTATGTAACAAAGCCTTGATAAAACCCCATAAAGACAGGGTTTGGGGAGCTTCCAAATAGCCAAACACATGGAAGTTCCTGGATGGTGGTGTGCCTGAAGATCATAAAAGCTCTGGGTCGCTTCCCCTTATGCATCTCCTCATCTGTAAACGTTGTAATAAATATTCTTTAAAATAAACTGGCAAATTAAAGCGTCTCCTGAGGTTTTGTGACTGGCTCTAGCAATTTAATGGAAGTCGAGGAAGGGGTCATGGGAACCTGATTTATAGCAAGTCAGTCAAAAGACAGGTTAAAAAAAAAAAAATCCTGGGGCTTGTGATTGGCATCGAAAGGGGTTGGCGGACAGTCCCATGGGACTGAGACTTCACCTGTGGGATCTGATGTCTCCTGGAGAACTACTTGGTGTATGAGGAAAACCATCCACACATATCTAGTCACAGAAGTACTCTGTGTTGATTGTTGCGGGGGAGAGCAAAGCAAAAGCAATTCGTGTTTTGTTCCACTCAGAATGGCCACAACAAACCTCCTGATAGCCTCAGTGAATATTACACCTGCTATCAACTTGCTCATCTCAGTTGATGGAGCTCCCATTGCCACAGCTGCTAAGACCAAAAACCCAGGGGTATTTCCTGAATCCTCTCAAACTCTCACTGTTCCCATTTAAAAATTGAGTTGCTGGGCTCGGCATGATGGCTCAAGCCTGTAATCCCAGCACTTTCGGAGGCCGAGGCGGGTGGATCACCAGGTCAGGAGTTCGAGGCCAGCCTGGCTAAAACGGCGAAACCCCATCTCTACTAAAAATACAAAAATTAGCCGGGCATGGAGGCGCGTGCCTGCAATCCCAGCTATGGGAGGCTGAGGCAGAATTGCTTGAACCCGGGAGGCAGAGGTTGTAGTGAACCAATATTCCACCATTGTACTCCAGCCTGGGCGACAGGTCCAGACTGTCTCGGAAAAAAAAAAAAAAATTGACTTGCCCCTCTAAAAAACACAAATCCAGATCTAGCCACATTGCCTAAGCCACAACTCTAGTCCATTAATCCTCACCTCGACTAGTGCAGTAGCTTCCAGTTTGATCTTCCTCCTCCCTCAACCCCACAGTCTGTTGTCCACTCTGTAACCAGAGAGAGCCTATTAAGAAATTGGTAACATCACCTCACCCCTCCAGTTTCCCTTCTAAGTATTTGCACATCCCAGTATCAGCTCCTGGGTGAACCCTCCACACGTGTTACATTAGTTGATAGACATGGCAACAACTCCCCATAACCTATGTCACTGATGTAGAGTTGGGGTTTGAGGTTTTTCCAAGATCCCCAGATCGAAGGACTGGAGAAATAGCACATAAGTGTCCTAGAATGTGCGGTGGTTCCTGCCTGTCATCCCAGCACTTTGGGAAGCCGAAGCAGGATGACTGCTTGAGCCCAAGGGTTTGAGACTAGCCTGGGCAACATGGCGAAACTCCATCTCTACTAAAAATACAAAAAGCCAGTTACTTGGGAGACTGAGATGAGAGGCTCTCCTGAGCCCGGGGAGGTCGAGGCTATGCTGCGCCCTGATCGCGTCACCGCAATCCAGCCTGGGTGTCAGAGTGAGAACCTGTCGCCCCGAAAAAAAATTTTAAAAAGACGCCAAGATCTAGACATGTAGGTGAGGACGAGGGACTAAAGCATCCCCTACTTCCTTCTGTGGGTTCCCTAAGTGATTCCGTAGCCAGGAGGTGTGCCAAAAGGCAGGGCTTTCACAAAAGTGTCCGTGCTCAGATTTGATAAATTCAGGCTTCTCTGTAAGCTTTTTTTGGCCCTGCCGCCAGATGATCTTGTGGCCCAGTGCTCAATGTCACCTCTTAATGATTCAACCTCTCAGAGCCTCAATATCCTCATCACCGCCTTCAACTCTGTACTTCCTTTGAACATCTTTTGGGAATCCTAACTCTAACACAGATTTCCTTTGTTCAAAACTGTCCATGGCTTCTAGCGACCTCAAAGTCAAAGGTCAACCCTCAGCCTGGTACTGAAGAAACAACTCCGCCTCGGCCAGGCGCGGTGGCTCACGCCTGTACTCCCAGCACTTTGGAAGGCCAAGGCGGGCGGATCACATGACGTCAGGAGTTCGAGACCAGCCCAGCCAACATGATGAAACGCCGTGGTGACACACGCCTGTAATCCCAGCTACTCGGGAGGCTGAGGCAGGAGAATCGCTTGAACCCGGGAGACGGAAATTGCAGTGAGCCAAGATCGCGCCACTGCACTCCAGCCAAGGCGACAGAGTGAGACTCCGTCTCAAAAAAGAAAAAAAAGAAAAAGAAATAACTGCGGCTCACTCTTCGTTCCCGGTAGACACAAGATGTCCCCGTGTTCCGCATCCTCCTGCCTCTGTCGCGCCTGCAGGCCTTTGCCCGTGCCGGACCCTCGGCCAGTCTCGCTCTGCCGACCGCATCAATTGGGTGTCGGAAACGGGGATCCCACCCGCCGGCGCCTCTCTGTCCCTGACAGAGGCCTGGGCTGCAGGGACGCGAGGAGGCGCCCCTAACGATCAGGGGCCTCAGGGTCCGGGTGGGTGAGGCCCGGAGGTCGCAGCACTCACCTGAGCGGGGTCCCTCAGAGCAGTCGCTGCAGCCATGACTCTGTTGGCGGGCGGGGGGACGTGGGCCCGGCGGTGTTCCTGTGGTTGTCCTGTCCCGGGCTGCGACCAGTGGCGTCGCCGAGCCTCAGATCCGCCTGTGCGCTATGGCCACAACCACTCCTCCCGAGCTCGTCCAGACCCAGAACCTCCGTACGGGCCTCACAGGCCAAAATGGCTGCCACGGCTAGGACGCCGGAAGTCTCGGCTTGACTTTACGTGCCCCCGCAATGGCGTGGCTTCTCTGAAGCTTCATTGGCTCAGTCACGCTTCCATTCCACAGGGCGGATTCTGGGTAATGTAGTTCCCAGAGATGGGCAGCGCTGAAGGTGACTTTCTTCCGACTTTCGGAAGGGCCAAGCTCCGCTGCGAGGGGCGCTAGAAAATGGCAACTCCAGGTCCAGATGCCGAGGAGGGTCTCCCATCTTAGAAGAGGCCATACACACATTTCTGGGGGTCTTGTGTGCAACTGATTGCCCGCGTGTTTGGAGGCTTCTTATTTCAGAATTTGTGATGCTCGGCTTCTTCCTTTTTTTTTTTTTTCTTTTTTTTTAAAAAAGACAGTTCTCTCTGTCACTCAGGCTGGAGTGCAGTGGTGTGATCTTGGCTCACTGCAGCCTATGCCTCCCGGCTTCAAGCGATTCTCGTGCCTCAACCACCCAAGTACCTGGGATTACAGGCGTGTGCCACCACACCCGGCTAATTTTTGTATTTTTAGTAGAGACAGGGTTTCCTCATGTTGGCCAGGCTGGTCTCGAACTTCCGTCCTCAAATGATCCGCCTGCTACGGTCTACCGAAATGCTAGGATTATAGGCATGAACCACCGTGCTCAGCCCATTAGCAACACTTTTATTTATGCTATATCTTTAACCTATAGATTCCTCTAGAAATCTGGTATCAACGTCAAAGAGAGAATAAGACAAATGCTATTATCTATTATGTTACAGGACAATGGCTGCGGTGTTCAAACATGGAGTTTGTATGCACAGGGTGCTTTTACACTGAGATATTTCAAGTGCCTTAAATCCATGAGTTCACCTCTTTGCTGGCAAGTGCTCATCATTGTCAGTGGCATTGGAATCAGAGCAACTCCATCTTGAAAATGGCTGGATAAAATAAGGCTGAGAACTATTCGGCTGCATTCCCAGGTCAGGCATTCTTAGTCACAGGATGAGACAGGAGGTTGGCACAAGATGTGGGTCACAAAGACCCTGCTGATAGAACAGGATGCAGTAAAGAAGCTGGCTAAAACGCACCAAAACCAAGATGGTGATGAAAGTGACCTCTGGTCATCTTCACTGCTCATTATATGCTAATTATAATGTATTAGCATGCTAACTCCCACCAGCGCCATGACAGTATACCAATGCTCTGGCAATGTTTGGAAGTTACCCTATATAGTCTAAAAAGGGGGAGGGAACCTCTGTTCTGGGAAATCTCCACCTCTTTTTTTTTTTTTTTTTTTTTTGAGATGGAGTCTTCCTTTGTCACCCAGGCTGGAGTGCATTGGTGCGATCTCGGCTCACTGCAACCTCCGACTCTTGGGTTCAAGCGATTTTCCTGTCTCAGCCCCCTGAGTAGCTGGGATTACAGGCGCCTGGCACAGCGCCCGACCTGTAAAATTTTCTATACTTAAAAAGTTGGCTGGGTGCGGTGGCTCTTGCCTGTAATCCCAGCACTTTGGGAGGCCGAGGGGCGCGGATCACGAGGTCAGGAGCTCTAGACCAGCCTCACCAACGTGGTGAAACCCCGTCTCTAGTAAAAATAGAAAAATTAGCTGGGCGTGGTGGCGCATGCCTGTAATCCCAGGTACTCCGGAGGCTGAGGCAGGAGAATCACTTGAACCCATAAGGCGGAGGTTGCAGTGAGCCAAGATCGTGCCACTGCACTCCAGCTGGGGCGACAGAGGAGAGAGTGAGGCTCCGTTTCAAAAACAAAAAACAAAAAAAACCTTTCTTGGATTATGTTTAGTATAAGTTGGGTATTTAGTGGAAACCTTATTCGGTATTGGAGGTGAGGGTTTCCAGTAATATTTCTTTCCCCAAGCAATCATTTTCTCAGATTTTCAGTGAGTTGGCTCACAAACATGTTGGACCCTAAGAAATTGAAATCTCAAAGGCAAGATGGGTCTCCTGTTGGGTCCACACCAAAATTTGTAAGTGGGGGAAAAGCATTACCCCTCTGTTAGCCATATCTACTTTTTCTTATCTGAAGCCTCTTTTTGAATCCCTTGGAGTTCCTGTTCAATGGCACTTATTTGGAATGTAGTGACCTTTATAGTTTCATGTGATATTGGTGTCAAGACAGTCTTTTGCTGCTGCATCTGCGAAATAACTTTTTTTTATTCTTTGGAGAGGTGAGTTTGAATGCTCAGGAATGTTAATAAAACACATTCTTTAAATCGACGGCTTCTAAAATATCAGAAACTTGAGAGCTATGTTTAATTAGATATCTGGGGGAGGTTAAGTAACCCCACTGGCCAGGCGTGGTGGCTCACACTTGTAATCCCAGCACTTTGGGAGGCAGAGGCGGGTGGATCATGAGGTCAGGAGTTTGAGACCAGCCTGACCAACATGGTGAAACCCATCTCTACTAAAAATACAAAAATTGGCCGGGCGCAGTGGCTCACGCCTGTAATCCCAGCACTTTGGGAGGCCAAAGTGGGCGGATCACGAGGTCAGGAGATCGAGACCACGGTGAAACCCCATCTCTACTAAAAATACAAAAAATGAGCCGGGCGTGGTGGCGGGCGCCTCTAGTCCCAGCTACTCCGGGGCTGAGGCAGGAGAATGGCGTGAGCCTTGGAGGCGGAGCTTGCAGTGAGCCGAGAGCGCGCCACTGCACTCCAGCCTGGGCAACAGAACAAGCCTCTGTATCAAAACAAACAAAAACAAAAACAAAACAAAAAAACAAAGCCTCACTGATTCCATAACATCCCAACCTCATGAGCCACATCAACAGATAATACCTTTAAGTATAAATATTATCCATTTGGCCGGGCGCGGTGGCTCACGCCTGTAATCCCAGCACTTTGGGAGGCCGAGACGGGTGGATCACGAGGTCAGGAGATCGAGACCATCCTGGCTAACACGGTGAAACCCCGTCTCTACTAAAAAATACAAAAAACTAGCCGGGCGAGGTGGCGGGCGCCTGCAGTCCCAGCTACTCGGGAGGCTGAGGCAGGAGAATGGCGTGAACCTGGGAGGCGGAGCTTGCAGTGAGCTGAGATCTGGCCACTGCACTCCAGCCTGGGTGACAGAGCGAGACTCCGTCTCAAAAAAAAAAAAAAAAAAAAAAAAAAAAAATTATCCATTTGATTTTTGGCCAGTTGACAAACTGGTGAGTGCTGTTAATTCAGCTAGCTGTGCTGATTTTAGTTGAGGCAAGGGATTGCTCTTTTTTTCCTTTTATCTTTTTTTTGGAGACAGAGTCTTGCTCTGTTGCCCAGGCTGGAGTGCACTGGTGCAATCTAGGCTCACTGCAACCTCCGTCTCCCAGGTTGAAGCGATTTTCCTGCCTCAGCCTCCCGAGTAGCTGGGACTACAGGCGCGCACCACCATGCCCAGCTAATTTTCGTATTTTTAGTAGAGACGGGGTTTCACCATATTGGCCAGGCTGGTCTTGAACCCCTGAACTTGTGATCCGCCCGCCTCAGCCTCCCAAAGTGCTGGGATTACAGGCGTGAGCCACCACACCTGGTGGGATTGCTCTTTCTGATGTCCACAAGAGACACAAGGCTGTAGCCTGCTCAGTATTTTCAAAATTTATCCTTCAGATTTGATCCATCTGTGAACCAGAGAATATCAACATTTTTACATGATGTCTCCTATAAATCCTGTCTGGACACCAACAGCTCTTCTGTGAGTAGAATACAGTGACGAAATATTTCATCTGTTGTTTCAGGAAGTTGCACTGCAGGATTAAGAGGATTACAGATAGAGAGGGCAGCATATGAAGCAGACAGTATAAGTATGTCATAAGAAACCAATCTATGAACGGAAAATTGCTGTGTATTATGTGAATTCAAAAGAGCTTCCACAGAATGAGGAGCCACTATTACAATTTTCTGAGTAATTGTAAGGAGCATGGCAGTGGCAAAAATGGCCCTCAGACAAAGAGGTCACCCATGTGCTACAAAGTCTAATTGCTGACTGTAATAACCAATAGCCCTATATTGTCCTCCAGTTTTTTGGGTTAGAACACCAAGGGAACTGCCATAGCTTGCACGAACAAAAAACTGCAAAAAACAAACAAAGGAAAAACAGCAGCTAATAATTTGCATGGGCCAAAATGGGGGCTTGTAAGATTTTTCTTTATTTATTATTTGTCCTTCTGATGTCCAATGTATGAGGTTAGGTTGATCTTTCTACAATGCATATAAAGTCTGTGGCATTAGAGAAAAATTGGACATCCAGCTATGGCAGTAGCCACCCAAGCCTAAAATCCCCTTGAATTGTCTTTTTTTTTTTTTTATATTAGATGGAGTTTTGCTCTTGTTGCACAAGCTGGAGTGCAATGCTGAGACCTCAGCTCACTGCAACCTCTGCCTCCCAGGTTCAAACAATTCTCCTGCCTCAGCCTCCTGAGTAGATGGGATTACAGGCATGCACCACCACGCCTGGCTAATTTTGCATTTTTAGTAGAGACGGAGTTTCTCCATGTTGGTCAGGCTGGTCTCGAACTCCTGACCTCAGGTGATCCATCCGCCTCGGCCTCCCAAAGTACTAGGATTACAGGTGTGGGCCACTGCGCCCAGCCGGAGATGTCTTTTACTTTTTGGAGTAGGGTATCAAAGAAGTCCAGTTACTCAATCCAGATGTATATGTGGTTTCTCCTTAGGAATTAAATGTTCCAAATCTTTTAGTTCTGTAAGGCAAAACTGGAGTTTTTCTGTAGATAGTTTGTAAAGCAAAACTGGAGTTTTTCTGTAGATAATGATCTCTTTTTGCTTTTTGTTCCAGGAAGTACAAGGAGTCCTTTTTACAATTATGCAAATTGGAGAAGCATAACAAGAGAAATTTAGCTAAGCTAGGTCAGTCTTTAATATGTGTGAAAAATAAGTTGGGCCTTTGGTATAACCTTGAGGCACAACAGTACAGATATATTGATATCCAATCTAGGTAAAGGCAAACAAATACTGTTAGGGTGTATTGGTATGCCTAAAAAGCACTGCATAAATCATTAACAGTTAAGATATTCACAGTTTACATGTACGCTGGATAAAAGAGTGTGGGGGCTTAGAACTACTGGTTGATGAGGAATCACAGTAGTATTAAAAATAGCTCTCAAATCTTGTACAAATCTTCATCCTTCCCTGTGAGGTTTTGTGTCAGGAAGATGGGAGTATTAGGACTGGTGGAAGGGATAATCAATCCCTTTTCAAGGAAATCTTTGATTATTTGTTTTATTCCTATTATAGCTTCTTGTTTTGAGATGATGTCTCCCTATGTTGCCCAGGGTGGCTTCAAATTCCTGGGCTCAAGGGATCCTCCTGCCTCAGCATCCTGAGTAG